TATTGCCTGAAGGAAATATATCCACTCAGGGGGGTATTGGTGGAACAAGTGGGGAGATACAGCAGATGCCTCCATCACCATCGCCGCAAAGTACGATTCAACCACGAACCTAGGCAGCAACAGTGGTTAGGTAACAGGGAAGTGGTACGCAGCATCCTCTCTTTGAAGACGTGGACAAAACATTCAGGAAAGGGATGTAACTGTGGACCGTAGCGGAGCCTATCCCGTTATTCGGTTCTCAGAAAGGGTTCATGAATCCATTGATCATAATATGCGAAACTCAATCATTGTGCGACTACTGGGAAAGACGATTGGATATCGGGTGCTGTGGAATAAAATCCAATTGCTTTGGAAGCCACAAGGGAAGATTCAATTAATTGATCTAGACAACGGGTGTTTTTTGGTTCGGTTGGAATTGGAGAATGACTACACGAGGATTCTTCCGGAGGGGCCTTGGGTGATTTTCGGTAGCTATTTAACAGTCCAACCATGGAGTAGGAAGTTTAACACTGCTGAAGATCATCCTTCGAAGGTAATGGTATGGATACGGCTTACAGGACTCACTTACCAGTATTATACGAAGTCCCTCTTTCGTTGTCTAGCCTCTGAAATCGGTAAGGTGGTCAAAATAGATTATAATATTAATGAGGGTGGTCGGGGAAAGTTTGCAAGGCTTTCTATTGCTGTTGATCTGAGCAAATCGTTACTTCCGTGCATCGGAATAGATGGCTTTATTCAGAAATTGGAGTACAAAGGTCTCCCACTTATTTTCTTTAAATGTGGAATATATGGGCATTTGCAAGATCAATGCGGTGGTAAGGAAGAGAGCGTGAAAGCCACTGAAGCAATTCATGTAGCAAGCGAGACAGTAACGGAAGTCGATCCACATCCGGTGTCAGATATCTATGGCCCATGGATGATAGCACCTGGGAGGGAGAGGAGGCCCCGTAAGTAGGCAGAGGGCAAGGAAACGGATCAGGGAGACAAGGTGCAGGGGAATTCTCGTTTTGCCGTACTTACTGAAAATGACGTGGAGTGTGATCATGAAAACACAAATCTGAATATTTTTGGGGTGGATCCTAGTAGCACTGAGGGAGGAAAGCAAGATAAGGGTAAGAATGCTATTGTTAGTGGGAAATGTAACAGCTAAGGTGGATGCGTCTAAAGTTGCAGGTTCGTCAAATCATGCTCAGAGCAATCATAGTGCTCAACTGTTGAAACTGGTTACTCTAAACCAAAGTTCACATGGGAAAGATGGGCAGGGTTCTAATGTGGAAGCAATTGTTCGGGATCACGAGCCTTTGGTTTCTATCCAGGTTCCAAACATCAAAGGTGGCGAGCATTTAGCTGTCAGGATCGATGAGGGGGAAAGGAGCCAACGAGTTTCAATAAGAGAACGGAGCAGCAGCCATAAAACGTCGGGTTTTAAAAGCTCTCTTGATCCAGGGGAAGAGGATTAAAAGTCAAAAAGACGATAATGTGTAAAGCTCCTGCAAGACCTATGTTATCGGATTGGGTGCAATCAACAAGCAATATAGTTGATGATTTAGCTAAGAGAAGCAAGTTATGGAGGCAAGCATGGAAGTTGAGGAGCCCGTAAGCAGTTCCCCGCTTATTTTAGTGGCCATGTACTGTCATAGACCTTTATTTACAATTGAGTTGTAAACTCTGTATTTTATTTAATATCATATTTTGGAGACTTATGTCGGGAGCTCCCATTATTAACTTACTATTATTTTCTACATATGGTATTTGGATGATATATATTATTTTGATATAATGATTTTAAAAAAATGGTTGGTCACTTCGGTGACTCCGTGTGACATCATAGTCTATCGACTTTCAGGTCGGATCGGATTAGAGTGTTATATAAACTAAGGAAATTTATTCTAAGGCCCGATTGGATAAACCCGAAACTTTTAACTCAGAATTCGGGGCGTTACATATTGTTAGAGCGAAGGCTTTTCAACCCCTTGGATAGTTTCTATAAGTCGTAATCTTGAGGTGACAACATCTTCATTTGCCTTGGATAACATGCATCTTATCTCATCTTGTTGGTTAATGGAGAGACATCTTAATACATTCGGCCAGGGAGGAGACTTCCCCACTATGATAGCACAATGAAGACATCTCAACGCCATGACATCATAATGAATAACATTTTCAAGGAACTAATAATGAGAGGAGTGTAGGACATACTTTTTAGACTGTTTCAATTTGTAAACGGAGGAAGAAGAACTCTGATGTTGTTTGATTATATGTTATTACCACACCATAAGACACGATGTAAACAAAAGCCTTGTAGCGTACCTGTGTGGGGGCTTACCAGAGTGATTGTCGAAGGCATGCATTTGAAGAATTCTAGTACTCAAGTGGAGGAAATAGAACTCCGGTGTTTGTGCGCCTTAAAGGCGTTTCAATATTAATATGTACTAACAGAGATTCCCCCCCCCCCCAAAATACCTATTTTTCATATGGTATCAGATCATGCTTTCGATCCAATAATTTATCTTAATGAATTAATCCTTCTCATCAAAGGTTCATTTTGGATCTGACTGAAGTCATCATCATTGATATCTCAACTATACGTATCAACCATTACAAGATCGAGAGTGACTAGCAAATTTTTAGATAGGTTGACAAGCTATGAACTTATAGGGAATGTTTAAGTAGGAGAAGAGAAGTTTCATCTCAGCTGATTCTTTTCTATCAGGGGGTATTCCATGCTTATTGAACTAACTGTTGATAATAACATTTGGGATATGGTGACTAAAGACGGTTCACCTCTTCTGATTCAGATAGAGAGCCATAGTTAGTTATTCACGTTAAAATTGTAGGCAATTAAAGTCGTATGGTTCATGTAGTTTTAAGAAGGAAAATAGTTGATGTTGAAGAAGATAAAGATCAAGGAGAGGCGTTCTTTCTCCGTATCATAAAAGTTTATATATTGACCTTTAGTGTTTGCGTGAGGAGTGATGGAGCTGGGATTAAACTATGGAGGGGGCAAACTGGAATTTAAATATAGATCTGCTATGGGAACAATGACTATTATAAAGAGGTAAATATGTCATTTGAAAATCATTATCGCACAATTATGATACCCACAATGACATCCGTTATTACCATAATCATGATAAACACAACGCAATCGAAAATACCACAATAACTGTAATTTTAATCTCTAGGGCAAGTTGTTTAATTTTAAAATAAATGGGATCTTAAAAAGTAATTAAATTATAAAAAAGATTAAAAGACTGAGGGTATAATTCTACTAATTTTAAAATTTAAATGTCTTAAAAGATAATTAAATCATATAAACGTTGGGTCAAGACTTAATTGTATTAATTTTAAAACTGACACCATCCCAAAAGTTATTATACCAAGAAATTAGGGGCAAGGGCTTAATTGTAAAAGTTTCAAAATATTCAATGACAGAAAATGTAATTAACCCGTCCATGTTAGGGGGCAGCTGCCCCTCCCATCTATAATAACTATTTGTAGGATGAAAGGCTAAACCTATATACTAAATAGATTTGTTTTCAAATAATGAATTACAGATCAACACTGATAGGACTAAAAAAATGAAGAAGGTATAACAGTAACCAAGCTGTAGGCATCCGATACTTGGGAAGCAGCACCTGCCCTACTAGGTTCCTCATTTCATGGCGTCGGTGCTTTCCACTGTACTCCTTCAGAGGGAGGCAGAGATGGAACCAGCCTATCATACCAACAATGTTAGCACCTGCATTTATTGTTAACCACTTTCATACGTGCATGTGGGCGGTGTATTTTAGGGTGATGTCCTACGTATTAAGGGATACATTCCCATTACAATTCTCCTTCAGATCATTGAGTCCCACGTGCTCATTGGTAAACTGCCACATCATTGGTGGATCTATAAATATTTTTTTAGAGTAGGTTAATAATATAAAATTTTTAAATAAATTGGACAAAAATAAAATTCAAGGTGAGTACGGTCCGTAAAGTAAGTAATTAAAGAAAATTCAGATTTCAAGGTGAACGAAAAATTTTAAGATAAACACTATCAGTAAAATAAGTAAGTAATCGAAGAAAATTTGAATTTCGAAATGGACATGTGCCTACCCTCACCAAGTTATGGCTCTATAACTGGCCACGATTGAATATCCCCACACCGGCACATAATGCAAAACACATCTTCCCAGGATGTTCATAATACTTTCCTTCAAGCACAAATTAAATTATTTTAGTAATTAAAGGAATTATTAATTTTTTTACAAGTTATGGGTTCAAACATTAACAACTATAAAAATAATTAAACTTTATCATGAAATAATTAAAAATATTTAGAATATATATTATTTAAAATATTTTTTGATGGCACAAAGGTAAATATAGAGAGATATCATTGGATACAAAATATTATAGGATGTTTGGATCAAGGAATGTGAGATTTCATTCCCATGTTTGGTTGGTCGGGATCTCATTTCTGATAATGTTTTATTATTAATAGTAGATTTTTTGGGTATATTACTGAGAATGTCATTACTTCCCTTTCTTTAGGTATTGTTGGATTACCAACGTTTTGGACTAAAATGCAATTAATTTTTTTTAAAAAAAATATCATTCTTCTGTCATTGAATAATAAAAATTCTACGAATGTTAAATTATAAATTTATCCTTAAACTATTTTAGATTTATAAAAAAATCTATAATTAAAATTTTATATGAAGTTCAGAGGTTAAAATAAAATTTTACCCTTTCATTAAACCTTTTTATATTTTCAATTTTGTAAATATATATATATATATATATATATATATATATTATTAATTTAAATTTTTTAAAAAAAATATATAAATATTTTTCAACTTGTTAAAAAATAAATATATAATAAGGATAATTTGGTCAAATATACATTCTAATAATCTTTTATTCCTTTAACCAAACACGGTAATATTACATTACTGCTAAACCAACCAAACACAAAATAAAACATTTCCAGAAATCATATTCCCCGGTAATCTTACATTCATTCTCAAAATACAACAAAATAACATTCTCAGAAATCATATTCTCTAGTAATCTTACGTTCTTTCTCATAATCTTACATTCCGTAAACCAAACGAATCCAAGTTTACAAGAAGCAGAGGAATAATGTGGCTCTGTGAATGACAACCACTAGGCAACAATAACGGCCGCCATATATTACATAGACGATCTTAGTATATTCATCTTGTCAGTTTTACCGCAATCAATTCCAAACCCAGAAAATTGTTCCACTAGTTCATCAAGAGCCTGGTAAGAACTTCCACCTTCTTTAATGGCGGCCAATGCTGTTTTCTGCAACTCCATGGCTCGAACTCTTTGCGTTTGCTTCACGGTCGTCGATTTCACAAGGATCCTAGCCAGTTCAGTCGCATCGGGCACAGTTCTCAACCCCTTGCAGACTCTGATTGCCGCCCCAACTTCGTCGGCCAACAGGCTCGTGATCTGAAAATGGTCGGCTTGCATCGGCCAAGCGAGCAACAACACGCCGGCAACAATGGCTTCCAACGCCGAGTTCCACCCGCAGTGAGTCAAGTAAGAACCGACGGCTCGGTGCTTGAGAATCGTCACTTGGGGTACCCAACCTTTGATCACTAGGCCTTTTCCCTTGACTCGATCTTCGAACCCTTGAGGGATCATGCTTTGATCATCGTCACCGTCTTCGGCTCGCTTCATCGGCTCTTTCACGGACCAAATGAAACGAACGCCGCTCTCTTCCAGCGCCGCCGCCACCGCTTTCATCTGATGTTTCGTTAAAGTAATCTGTGTCCCGAATCCGATGAAGACAACCGAATCATCAACTTCACAAGAATCAAGCCAAGCAAGAACTTCATTCGGCCGTGTTGAAGTTGACGTAATCGCACCTCTCTCATTCACCGGCGGCAGAGGTCCGACACCCCAAACACGGCCGTGTCTAACGAACTTCTTCTCGACTAAACCCATTTTTTGCCCTTCCAAGTCTTTAAATGAGTTGAAAACAAACCCCTTGCTTTCCATGCTCGCCCCGAAAGCTTCCCTATAAAAGGGTAACAAGAAACTGGGTTTTCCAAGCCAGAAATAAACCGCAGCAACATTGAACGGAACGAAGCAGATATTCGGGATATCGAGATCCATAGCGAGATTAACAGTCCAAGGAGCGAGCAATATGTCGGAAAAAATGGCAACCGGAGGAGATTTTCCCGATCTTTTTGCTCGGAACCATTGGTGTAAGGGTTGCTGTAATTTTCCCAACGCCTCGACTATGTGAGGAAGAAACGAGATCGGAAGATCCTGCATTTGCTCGACATCACGAGGAAGTGAAGGGTGAGAGGGGAAAGGGAAGACCAGAGGTTGAACGTTAGGAGAGTGTAGAAGAAGAAGAGGGTTCAGATAGCAAAGGTTCTTTGGTGTGACCATGATTGTCACTTTTAAGCCACGAAGAAGAAGCTGATGGGTTAAGTCCATGAGAGGAAGTATGTGGCCACATGCTGGGAATGGGATGACGCAGATGTGTACGCCGCCGCCACCGGCGGCGCAGGTTGAACCTTTGCCGGAATATTTCACGCCATTGACCTCCATGTTTGCTAATTCTATGATTGGTTCGTTGTTGTATTTTTACCTTTCTTATATAGAGAATTGGATTTAATAGTGACAAAATCTTTTCATTATTTTGAATTTGTTCTTGGATATATATGATCCTAAATATTTTAAGTTCGAACAAATGTATTTATTAGGTAGATTAAGAAAATTCAAAATAAATATTATTTTTTAATTATATCGTATTATTTTAATTAAATTTAAAAGAAACATTATCCAGGTTTGTGATTTAATTCGATCCGATTTAATCAAGATAAAATTTTATAAACAGAGGGACAATCAAAAAATAATAAAAATATACAAATAGCATATTTAAAAAATAACAAGTTCAGATATTAAATAATATAGAGCCTCTTCCTCTATGGTATTAAGCCTTACTATTTTGTATGCTTGTAAAATAAAAATATTGATTGAGAAAATAGAAGTTGAATAAGCCTGATAAATGGATTTCAAAATATTATATTTAATTAATAAAATTGATATAAAAATTTAAACTATACATCAACTAATTGTTTACATTATCTTGAAAACGCTATGTTACAAAGCTAATGACAATGATTAGGTACACCTACTATTAATTTATTGCTAGTGTTTTATATATTTTTATTCCAAACAACAAATTAGTAATATAATATATGTTAAAATTCATTCAAAAATAAGAAATTTGAGGATTTACTGACCACATTTGTAAAATTAAAATTTGAATATATGATATCAATTTAATATAGTTTTAGAGGTTGTGTGTTGGAATAAACTTAAGGTGCGTTTGGTTCACGGAATGTAAGATTACCAGTGGGAATAAAAGATTATCAGGGAATAGGATTACTAGGAATGTTGTATTTTGTGTTTGGTTGGTTAAGCAGGAATGTAAGATTACCGTGTTTGATTAAAAGAATAAAAGATTATTAGAATGTATATTTGACCAAATTGTCCTTATTATATATTTGTATAATATTACAAATTGTAAAATGTTTATATATTTTCTTTAAAAAATTTAATTCATAATATTTATATAATTTTTTTTACAAAATTAAAAATATAAAAATGTTTAATGAAAGGGTAAAAAAAATTTAACCCCTGAACTTCATATAAAATTTTAATTATAGACTTTTTTTTTGTGAATCTAAAATAATTTAAGGATAAATTTGCAATTTAAAATTCGTAGAATTTTTATTAGAAGAATGATATTTTTGAAAAAAAAAATAAAAATTTAAGGGCATTTTAGTCCAAAATGTCGGTAATGTTACAATACCTAAGGGAATGGAGGTAATGACATTCCCGGTAATATATCCCAAAAAATCTACTATTGGTAATAAAATATTACTGGGAATGAGATTCCCGGCCAACCAAACATGGGAATGAGATCCCACAATCCTTGAACCAAACACCCCCTAAGGATAATTGTTTTAGAGTTAAAGATTTGAAATGATTATAAGACCAATTCCAGTGCATCTCCAAAGTAGAGAAAATTTTCACTTTGGAGATGAATTTTAACTCTAGCTCATCTCTAGAGTAGAGTCTGGAATGTGGAGATGCTACAGTGATACTCTACATCTGGCGCAGTACTGTAGTTGTGCTACATAATATATATATTTTTGTTATTTTTATGATTCTTTATTTTTGTTATTTTTGTTATTTTCTTTTTCTTTTTTTGTTACATTATTTTCTTTTATTCTATTTTTTATGTTTTTATTGTAATTTTCACACAATAAAATAAAAATTAAACATAATATAATAAATTCAAGTAGATTAAATTGCAAGATAGAAAAAATACATTGAAATTAGATAAATAAACATACTAATAGTTAAATATTGTGAATACAGTAAAGTTAGTGGTAATGTAGAGATATTGCTGGAGATAAATTACTATTTCATCTTTAAAGTAGAGATAAAGATGTAGTAGAGTAGAGATGAGGGTTGTAAATGACCTAATAATTAAAAGAGAAAATCGCCTCAGTGACCAAAAAAAAGTTATAATATACGATTTTAACCAACATTTTTTGGATTTGCGAAAATGACCAACAAAATCGCAACGCGAAATAAAAATCGCAACGCGATTTAGAAAATCGCAACGTTGAAAAGAAAATCGCAACGGTCAAAAGAAAATCGCAACGCGATATTCCAAGAATCGCAATGCGATTAAGAGAATCGCAACGCGATCTTCCAAGAATCGCAATGCGATTCAGAAAATCGCAACGCGATTAAGAAAATCGCAACGCGATTCAGAAAATCGCAACGCGATTAAGAAAATCGCAACGCGATTCAGAAAATGAGTAAATTTTTTCAAAAGCTATTGTATTTGTTTCTTTCTTAAGAATTTTCTCTAAAAAGATAGTATCCGCGCGGACGTGTCGAAGACACGTATGACCACGACCACGACCACGACCACGACCACGACCACGACCACGACCACGACCACGACCACGACCCGAGACGAGACGAGACGGCGGCGGCGCGCGAGAGTCCCCCTTGTTCTCTTTCACTCAACAAGGAAATGGGAAATCCAAGCCTTAAATACACTTCCCAAGAGTGTTTCCAATACTATGTGGGATTGAGCATTACTCAACACTTCAAAGAAAATATAGCAATTTTTGTAGTATTTTCCCACTTAATCCATATCTAAAAATATTAAAACATTTTATCAAGAGAATTAAAAGAGTTGTAGATATCTACATTTCAATTCAAACTTATATATATAGTTTTAATATGATAAAATGTTTTAATATTTTTAAATATGGATTAAGCGGGAAACATGCTACAAAAATTGCTATATTTTCTTTGAAGTGTTGAGTAATGCTCAATCCCACATAGTATTGGAAACACTATTGGGAAGAGTATTTAAGGCTTGGATTTCCCATTTCCTTGTTGAGTGAAAGAGAACAAGGGGGACTCTTCGACACGTCCGCGCGGATACTATCTTTTTAGAGAAAATTCTTAAGAAAGAAACAAATACAATAGCTTTTGAAAGAATTTACTCATTTTCTTAATCGCGTTGCGATTTTCTTAATCGCGTTGCGATTCTTGGAATCGCGTTGCGATTCTTGGAATCGCGTTGCGATTTTCTTAATCGCGTTGCGATTCTTGGAATCGCGTTGCGATTTTCTGAATCGCATTGCGATTCTTGGAAGATCGCGTTGCGATTCTCTTAATCGCATTGCGATTCTTGGAATATCGCGTTGCGATTTTCTTTTGACCGTTGCGATTTTCTTTTCAACGTTGCGATTTTCTAAATCACGTTGCGATTTTCTAAATCGCGTTGCGATTTTTATTTCGCGTTGCGATTTTGTTGGTCATTTTCGCAAATCCAAAAAAAGTTGGTTAAAATCGTATATTATAACTTTTTTTTGGTCACTGAGGCGATTTTCTCTAATTAAAATATAAATACGTCTTAAAATGAAATTATGTACTAATTAAAAAAATTAAATTAATTAATTTTTTAACAATGAAATTAACTAATTAAATATGCACTTCTCAAATGTCAATCATGGAGTCACGAGAAGTTAAGAGAGAGAGAAACTACAAATACAAAATAATAAAATATTTAACTATAAATTATAGGTAATTATTCCATGTATTCGGTGGAATTTTCTATTTTTTAATAAATTAAATTTTAATGTTATGGGTGAATTTAACATTTAGTATCTAAACTATTATTTTTGTTCTGTTTTAGTACTCAAACTTTATTCTTTTTCAAAAGCATGCCTACCATTTAGTTTAAGTTTTAATTTGGTACTCACTGTTAACGTTACATCTTTTAATTTTTATCAATGCTGATGTGCATTATTTTATTGTAATATATTAATGTGACCGTTAAATTTTTAATGGCTCGATACCAAACTAAAACCTAAACTAAAAAGTGGGTATGATTTTGAAAAAAAATAAAGTTTAGATACTAAAATGAAATAAAAATAATAACTTAAATACTAAATGTTTAGTTTACTCTAATGTTAGTATATGTTTTATTTTAATATTCTAAACATTAAATTTTTTGATATTTATGTCTTATATTCTAAATATAATATTTACAGCATTAAAACCGCTTATTAAAAAAGTCCCACTTCGAGTACATAAAATATTTTTCAAAAGTTATTTTATGAATTTGGTAAAATAATATTTTATGTACTAGCCAAGCGACTTCGATGAAATTGTTATTATTCCTTGAGGTCTCGGGAGCATCAGAAATCTCAGTGGCATAAACGTTCAATGTCAAATGATAGTATTAAAAGTAGTTACAGAGTTGAAATGACTATCCAACTCAGTTGGTAGAGCGCAATGTTCTTAACCTTGTGATCGTGAGATCGAGTCCTACGGAGAGCAATTCATAATTCGGAGGTCTCTCACGGAAGCTGCTCTCAACCTGGCGTTGGGGTCAGACTAATATCATACATCCTCCTTATTCCATTATATATGGAAATAAGGGTCAGCTAATTTAATTTAAAAGTAGTTACAGAGTTGGTTTTTAAGTTTGTTGTACAAAAGTTAAGTAGTTAGTTTATTTATTTAGAGATTCAATAAATAAGTGTTATCAGTATATGTAATGTACATATTCAGATGAAATAAAATTGAATTATTTTTTAACAGATGGAGAGTTATCTATGAACAGATATTGACTTGTTCTTATCTCAGATTAATAAAAAAAATATTTTATTTTATAATCAAAGTGTTTGAGACTAGGGGTGTAAATGAGCCGAGTCGAGTTCGAGTATTACTGAGCTCGACTCGACTCAAAAACTCTGAAATGGAGCTCGACTCGACTCGAAAACTCACGAGCTTAAAATTTTCAAGTTCGACTCGAACTCGAAATCCTAAACTGAAGCTCGTGAGCAGCTCGAAAAGGCTTGAAATGAAAAAAAAAATCTTAAACTTAACTCGATTGAAGCCTCAAACTCAAACTCGAACATGAACCTTAAATACATGAAATCTTACTATATTTTTTTTAAAAAAAAATCAATACATAAATATTAATATTATTATTAATTTATTTTTTTAAATAAAATCTTAATATAGTATATTTTCGAGCTGCTCACGAGCTTTTCGAGTCGAATATCGAGTAGCTTGTTTTAGCTCGTTAAGAACTCGAGTCGAGCTCGAGTCGAGTCCATTCGATCCGAGTATTTATCGAGCCTTGGTCGAGTCGATCTCGAATAACTCACGATCTATCTTGTCTCATTTACAGCCCTATTTGAGACTTTAAATTGTTTGATTTCTTACAAACGAACTAAATTTTGAATTTTTTGTTTTATTCTTTTAAAAAATAAAAAATAAATAAATGAAGAATATGATTGAGGGTCATATGTTACACAGTCATTAATTTTTTTATAAATGACTTACTTCAATTAAGAAAGAGTTTAAAAAGTTATTTAAGTAACTATTTTATATTAAAATCTCTAAATTTATATATAATATTAAAGGTAAAGTGATGAATTATTATCTGTATATAGGCCTTTCCATTCACCCTTCTTGCATTTTATAACTATCGAAGACTTAGATATGTCTAAGGAAAGATAATATAATATAAGACTAAAAAAAATATTATCGAAAATATTAATATTTTTTTTAATATTTTTGGTAGAGTAATATTTAAAATGTTATTTTTTTTACCAAAAATATTAATATCGGGTGCTACCTAAATTGTTATTTTTCTACTGGAAGTGTTAATATCGGAAATATTCAGTTTAGGTAACGAAATTAACATTTTCGATAAAAAAATAACATTTTAGGTAGCGTTCTACCGAAAATATTAACATTTCCGGTAACACATTTCTTTAGCCTTATATTAGAATGTCGTACAACATAACTACTCCAAAAATATCTTTGAATATTCAACACTTAAAACTTTAAAAGACATAAAAAGTACAACTCACACGTGTAGTCTTTATAAAATTTTAAAAATTTATATTTTTTTTAAAAAATTATCTAAGGATGATATGTGTTATTTAACCTCATTTTAATGTTTATTACGATCGAGATACATAAACGTATAATGTTTAAAATATTAAACACCTAAATTAATGGGGAAAAAATTTAAATACTTAAATTAAAAAAAATATAATTTAAACACTTATTTTTATATTAAACCTTCATACTGAGCCTAATGTATTAAGCCTACAATGAATATGAAACATATCCTATCAGAAATTAATCAGTCAAAACATACGTTAAAGTTAAGAGTAAATTACAAGATTAGTAACTTTTGTTTAGGTTATGTTTACTTTTTCTCACCGAATTCAAGAAAATATAATACTTGATCATTTTTTATTTTAGTTCATTAAGATGTGATCATGTTCGATTTTATTTAATTAAGATATAATCACTTATCTTATTGATTCCTAACTGAAATTTTAACTAACATTAATGATAAAATAAAAGTGATTATGTCTTAATTAAATAAAAATAAGAACATTCAAAATATTATGATTTTTAAAATTAATAAGAAAGTGTATAAAATTAAAATAAAAGTGATTGATCTTATAGTGTATAAAACTAACGGGGTTGGTTCAAGTGGTAGGCAACTTGATATCGCTTAAGTAAAGTTTCAAGTTCGAGTATTTGTATATATAGAAAATCTCCGCTGAGAGACTCACTCACCTAAGTAGGGGTGTAAACGAGCCGAGTCGAGCTCGAGTATTGCTGAGCTTGACTCGACTCGAAAACTTTGAAATGAAGTTCGACTCGACTCGAAAACTCGCGAGCTTACAATTTTCAAGCTCGACTCGAACTCGAAATCCTAAACTGAAGCTCGTGAGCAGCTCGAAAAGGCTCGAAATGAAAAAAATTATTAAACTTAACTTGATTGAAGCCTAAAACTCAAACTCAAACATGAACCTTAAATACAAGAAATCTTACTGTATTTTTTTTTATAAAAAATCAATACATAAATATTAATATTATTAATAATTTATTTCTAAAAAAATAAAATCTTAATATATTATATATTTTCGAGCTGCTCACGAACTTTACGATTCGAATATCGAGTAGCTCGTTTCGGCTCGTTAAGAACTCGAGTCGAGCTCGAGCTCGAGTCGAGTCCGAGCTCGAGTCGAGTCCATTCAATCCGAGTATTTATCGAGCTTTGATCGAATCAATCTCGAATAGCTCGCGATCTGTCTCGTCTCATTTACAGCCCTACACTTAACTCAGATGTGCGACTGGGTCGGTCCAATGCAAAAAAAAGAGATAAAATAACCAACATTATCTCTCAACCTTTCTCCTAAACTCCCAAGTTATTTCTGGCTGAAGTCCAGAGATTTGAAGCTGCAAAACTTATATGCACCGTTCAAAAAGCAAAAGAAATTACTATTTTTTATTATATTTTAATATATAAATTAAATTTATTAAATCTCAATTTAGTATATCATCGGTAAAAAAAAATTAAACGTTATATTTTCAAATATTTTTTAATAGTAAGATAAAATTTTATTATGATTATATGTCAATATTATTATTAAATTTTTAATAACAAGATATTAAAATAAAATAAAATTAAAATTTTAAAAATATTTGATGATTATATGTCAATATCATTATTTTATTTTTAATAATGAGATATTAAAATAAAATTTAAATTAAACTTTGAAAACATATAAACTTTAGGTATTAAAATAAAAAAATTAATAGTTTAAACGTTAAATGTATAATTTAATACCATTTTCTTGCATGAAATAAAACGATAATGAAGATGAAAACGCCTAAAGATATTAGGGTAAACTTATTCAATATTAAGGGTAAATTGGTTAATTATTGTACACTGTGACGGAGTTTGAAATATAAGATTTTTTTCGATTAATTACTTATTTTATTAATAATATTTATTTTAAAATTTTTCATGTATATTTTAAAATCTGAATTTTTCGTCGTAAAATTTTATTTGTACGTACTCCTTTTAAAAATTTTATGTTGTACTTATCTTAAAAGTATTTCCAGCCGCTATTGATTAAACGTTACACAACAATGATATTAAAAACGAGAGCAGATCCATTCATGAAAGTAGCTGAAAATGCCATTTTAGTACATGGAAAACCACAAGCACAACTGAAGACATTAAAAAGGAGAAGAAAAGTAGGGATCACCCAAGAATGGAACTGATAGGGAGATCATATATGCCTTATTTAAACATTTGGCATGAAAAACCCAAAATTAAAACATCCCTTCCTTTCCATATCAGCTAGCAAAGCTTAGTGCAGAAGCACCGGCGGCGGAAGCCTCGACATTTGCCGCCGGAAAAGCCTTCGTTCCTGCAGACGAGGCCGCAGTTGTGGCTACTCGTACACGCTCCCTTGAACTTATGGCTCTGTGACTGGCAAACCCTCCTCCCCTCCGCCGGCTGCACCGCCCATTCTGCATCCACATACCCACCCATTCATACATGCATGTTATAATGTAGGAAACAAGACTCAGATGATCATGAAGAAGATGATATATATACTAACCGGAGGCTAAGACAATGAGGAGCAGAAAGAAAATCCCCAACGATCTTTTCATCATCTTAAGGTAGCTCCACCAATACTGATTAAACCTTTACGATTAAGGTCTTGTGCACCCGGTATATATAGAAAAGGCAGCAATCCAATAATTCTAGAGGGTTCATGATGGGGGTCAGCTACTCAGCTTAGAACAAAAAAATAAATTCAGAAAATAATAAATTTTTACCCCAATAATATTTATTTAAAAATTAATTACCAATATGATGATATTCATCTCAGATTATACGTGCGTAACGATAATGCGGGCACATAAAGAAAAGTCACATAAAATATGTTAAAGACACGTAATTACATATATATATATATATATATATGGATTGTCTATTCAAATTAGTTGGTAGAGCACAAGGTTCTTAACTTTGAGGTCGTAGGATCAAGTCTCACGGTGGGCAATTCATAATTTGGAGGTCTCTCACGGAAACTGATCTCAACCTGGTGTTGGGGGCAGCCTATTATCCTACCTCCCCTTATCCCATTACATATGAGAATAAGGGTCAGCTAATTATATATATATATGGTTACTCTCCCGATTTTAAGACTTTGTATTGACTAATTTAGATTGACTCGCGTCGCATACCTGATTTTGGTGAGTGAGTCTCTAGAGATTTTATGCATAACACAAAGACTTGAACTCAAGATTTTACTTAAACGATATTAAGTTACTTATCACTTGCAATCTCTGTTGATTATATATATATATATATATTAATTTCACTTTCATTCACTTAATAAAAACATATTTAATATATTATATTTAAACATTAAAAAATCTACAATGATTTATGAAATTCAAAATATTTTTTAAAATTTTATATTATATAAATACGTTAAGTGTTTAAATATATTATTTTAAATACAAATTTATTAAAAGATTAAATATAAAATTAATACATAATTATCTAGTGACGAATTTGTAAACATTTTAAGATGAATATATGTTCATAAACCTGAAATTTAATTTTTTTTAAATTATTTTTTGGATAAAATCTATATAATTTTTATTTGTGGTACAAATAATATTATTTTAATAAATAATCTGAAATAAATATCAAAATTATAATTAATTTTCTTAATAGTTTGGATGATTGTATTTTTTAGGGAAAATAACATTATTATTTTTATCATTGAGGTAACGTGATGATTTTTTTTTATTAATTTTAAATTTAATTCTAATTTTATATAAAGAGAAATGGGATAAAAGTCTAAGAAAAGAAGTCTAAAATTTATTATAAGTATGAAAGAATAGAAATAAATAATTTAATAAACTGAGTAAATATACTTACCCGCTTCGTATTAAATTCTTAAATAAACGATATTTAAGAAAAAGATGAGAAAATAAATATTGTGAGTTAATCAAGGTCAGAAGTAGACTAAAAATAAAACGAGACAGATTGTGAGTTACTCGAGATCGATTCAATCAAAATTCGGTAAATACTCGATTCGAGTAGACTCATCTCGAGTTCGACTAACGAGTCAAAACGAGTTACTTGATACTCGATCGAAAAACTTATTAGCAACTTGAAAATATAATATATTAAGATTTAAAAAAATTAAATTATTAATAATATTAATATTTATATATTGGTTTTTTTTTAAAATATAGTATACAGTTTTCGTATTATTAAGGTTTAGTTTCGAGTTTGAGTTTAAAGTTTCAATCAAATTAAGTTTAATTTTTTTTATTTCGAGCATTTTCTAATTTATTCGAACTTCAATTTATAATTTCGAATTTCGATTATATTTAAAAATTTTAAATTTATAATTTTTTTAAGTCAAATTGAATTCTATTTAAAAATTTTCAAATTAAATCGAGTTCAACCAACTCGATTTAGCTCGTCTATAATCCTACTGCAGAAGGTGTCGGGTGAGAGTCTGACAGAGAGGGAAAGGTCAAGGATGACAGACTGAAAGCAAAGCAGGAGAAATGAATGTAATCACGTGATCAGTGCAGAAAGTGGTGAACCGCCCATCTCGTCCACATAAAATCTCCTTGCTCCCGTTTCGAGAGAAATTATTTTATAGATCCGATTCATCACATTATTTATAATTATAATAATTTAATATTTTAATTTTAAATAACTGTTCACTTCTTTATTTATACGTATGAAAAAAAGTAAAAAATTACTTTAAAAAACATGAGATAAAAATACTATTAATTAAAACCACTGACGTAATAAACATATCTATCTAATAATTTTTTCGTTTCAAGATCCTCATTATGGGAAAATTATATCGTACGACGTTTTAATATACAGTTAAAGAAAGATTATATTGAATTTATTATTATTTTTTTAATATATCCGATAAAAAATTACTAGAAACATTATTATTTTTTCTTAAAATATTAATGTTTTTAATATTTCCGGTAAACTGTCCAATAATAACAAAACTGGTAGAAAAATAATAATATTTTAGGTAGTGCTTTACCAAACCTTGTAAAACGTCCAATAATAACAAAACCGGTAGAAATAATAATATTTTCGGTAAATTTTTTATAAATTTTGTTAAAAAAATAATAACAAAACCAATAACATATTTCTAACAGCGTCGTTATACTTTTCCGTCACTATGCGACACTTGTGTTTCCCATTTTGTTTTCGGTTTTTCACCATATGCACGCACGTACCATACGTGTGAAGATACAGGAATTTTGGTTTAAATTATTATAAATAATTTCTTATTTTAATTAAATATAATTTTAACATAATATAATTTAAAATTAATATTAAAATAAGAAGTTATTTAAAATAATTTAAAACTTGCATCTATTATAATAAATATACTAAATTTAATTTTTTTTAAAAATTAATATTAATTTTATACAATATATAAATATTTATTTGAATATTTTTTTATTTTAATTTGAAACGAGAAACTATTTAATTTTAATTTAATATTTTATAAGATAAATAATAATTTTGGTGTGTATTACATCAATTCTTAATCTGATTTATTGGTTAAATGTTTGAATATGTTTGTGATATGTCTTAAGTTCAAATAATTGATTCAGCTGCAACTTCGTATCAACAATCTCACCCAGAACCTCATCAGTCCGCTGTAACTCCACAAGGTCAGCCAGTTTCTTCTGTAACTCGTCTAACCTCATCTTCACAGGAATCCTCCAACAATCAAGATGCCTCAACCCGAAAATGTCAGCGTCGAGCTACACCGCTGTGAAACATCGTATCCAGCAGCAATGGACAGTGATCAGAGAAAGCATGATCAACATGATGCAAAGAATAAGACGGAATAAAGCCTTACACGAATCAGAGGCCACCCCTCTATCCAACTAAATTGATTCAAATTTTATTTATACACATCATTAAGTTTGATTATTGACTTAATAAAAATGATAATATAACACAGTATAATAATAGTTTTAGTCCCATAACTTATCCATTCTTTTAAATTAATTTTAATTCAAAATAACTTAATAAATTTTTAATGTTTAAAAATTAATCATAATAAATTCAGTTGATTTAGGGGCGATGATGAAATGGGGTTAAAGGGAACAGAATTATTAAATTAATAATAAATTAAATTAATCAGAATTTTGAACTAAAAATTTATTGAAGTATAGTAAATTTAATAGAATATATGTCTTAAGGATTAAAATTATTGTATGGGATTTAAACGGGGATCCCCATCGGATAATCGGTGAAAATCGCGGAGAATGGGTATCCCGTTTAGCATAAACGGTTATTTAAACAGGTATCGGACCGGGTATATATATTTAAATTAAATATATAAATATTATATATATATTTTAAATTAAATTAAATTTATTAATATTATATATATATAATCATTATTTTTAATATTTATCGGGTAAGGTATTGGGCCGGGTAATCGGGGTGGAAAAATGTTATTTTTTCTACTGTTTTTCTACCTGAAATTAGGTAGCAAAATTAACATTTTTGGTAGAAAAAAAAATAATGTTTTAAGTAGCGTTTTATCGAAAAAAATAATAACATTTTCAGTTTTTCTTTAACCGTATATTAGACTATCGTACAACGAAACTATCCCTTTCCTACGAGCAATTTTGGAATGTCATATCTAAACATTAAACAATTGAAACCGTTTTAAGTAACACTAATGATTTACTTTCATTTCTAAAAGAAAAATAAACAATACCACTTTAAATGAAACAACAAAGGATCAATTTATAGTAAATTTTCTGTCTAATGATCTCTAATGAAATTCCTTTGAAATAACATATATTATGACAAATTCATAACCGAATCGTTTCATGGATTTCGTCATATATCCATTCTGAATAGATAAATTTTGACAAATTCTTCCATGGAATTTTCGCCAAAGAAGCAGGTGCATTGCTCTCATATGATCCAAACCTCCGCCTGCCACTTTGGCCTTCGGCCGACGAGGCTAGGAACCAGATTTTGTCCATTTGGGATAAGGCGGATATCATCAAGGTCAGCGACGTCGAGCTCGACTTCCTCACCGGCAGCGACAAAGTCGACTACGAAACTGCAATGAAACTTTGGCGCCCAAACTTTACCCTGCTCTTGGTCACCCTTGGTGAAAGGGGTGACCGATACTAGACCGAGGTATGCTAAATTTCCGCCTCTTTTTAGTATGCTTTGTTTTCGATATGGTCCTTTAATGATCTTGTTTATAATGAAATTGTAGAAATTCCATGGGGCAGTGGATGCATTCCATGTCAATACTATCGACACAACCGGCGCCGGTGATTCCTTCGTCGGTGCTTTGCTATGCAAGATCGTCGACGACCCTACCATTCTCGAGGTTACACGCAATACGTATTCACATTTTTTAATTATTTTTTCTTAAATCTAAATTTGTTCTAAAAAAGGGTTGCTTTTGACAGGATGAATCAAGATTAAGGGAAGTATTGAGATTTGCAAATGCATGTGGAGCCATCACCACAACCAAAAAGGGAGCCATCCCTGCACTTCCAACCGAAGCCGATGCCCTTGCCTTAATCAATGCACCTTAGAGGCCTTCAAATATCTTCATTTTCTCATTGTTTTCTCTCTTTTCCCCTCTACATTACGATGAGCTTTGTATCTGTAAGCATTAGCATATGAACTCCAATGAAATGAATGATTTTCATGTCTATTGTATTCATCGAAAACGGTTTTTATTTATCGAGAAAGTTCAACAATAGTGTTCATCTTTGAATGATTGCAGTATAGAGACTTAAATTCTACTTTTCTGTCGTTTATTTCATCTTTTAATCACTGGTTACCAATCTCGCCGATGCAAGCCGAAGCGGGCCTCTGCCCTCCGCCACAAATAGGGATCGTTGACGGGCAACTCAGGCAATTATTCGCAAGGTTGCCGCTGATCCTGTTGCCGCTGCTATTGAACTGCCGCGGTATCCGACCCGACAAGAAGTTGTCGTCTAGGAACAAGCTTCTCCACGGCCTCCCCAACCGCTGTCCGTATGCTAGCGGGATTCGACCGGTCAATCCATTGTACCCCAAGTTGATCACTTGCAAGTTCTCAAAGTTCACCAGGCCCACTGGCAGATGACCCTGCAACCGGTTCCTTTGCGCATTCAGCACCTGAAGCGGCGAACTGCTCCCGAGATGGGTGTTCACTTCGATCGAAGTGAGTTGATTGAAGGAAATGTTGAGTTTATTCAGGGACGGCAATGAGAGAATCGACCGACTAATGGAACCTGTGAACTTGTTGTCACTTAGATCAATATGTCTCAGCTCTTTAAGTGACCCCAGTTCTGTAATATGTCCTGCAAGTTGATTGTGGGACAATATTAAGGATCTCAGTTTTGTTGGAAGCTTTGGTAAGCTTCCTACAAACATGTTGGATCCAAGGTCTAATGTATCCAATTTCCATAGTCCATTAATGTCAGGAATCCTTCCAGAGAATTCGTTGTTTGCTAAGCTCATTCGTGTCAATCTTCTTAACTCGGATGTCCTCGTTGGTATCGGACCGGAGAGGAGGTTTTCCGATAAGTCTATCGATTCAATGTTCTTCAATCCATTGATCCATCCTCCAATACCACCTGTGAAGAAATTCCCTGAAAGAGAAAGCATGGTTAGTTTCTTGAGATTCTTTAAAGAATCCGGCAACGGCCCTCTAAACTGGTTCCTACTGAGATCAAGCAATGTTAACTCGGCGAGGTTCCCTATATTGTGCGTTAAAAAACCATCGTATCCCGCACTATCGAGCTCGATCGACACAATCCGATTCGTCAAGTTATCTCCAGGATTCGAACACAAAATCCCCAAGAATTTCGCGCCGGTACTATCACATGGATCCACCGAGAAATCCCACGAACTGATGTACGACGACGGTGGGATCATGTTGGGATCAATAGAACGCCTCAACGCTTGAAGTGCTTCGGTGTCCGACCTCAACGTCATCGAATGAACGAGTGCAAACACCGAAGCTAAAACCACTGCAACGGCAACGAAATTCGAAGAAGACGATGAGATCGATTCCATTTCTTTGAAGATTCCGTTTGATGGTAATGTAAGCAAGGGGGGAATAAGGTACAAATAGTTACATTTAGATGGTATAATTTCCATGAAGATTATAAAGTAAAGACGCTGAACATCAGGTAGAAAGATAGTGAACTGGTTTCTTTATGTTAGGCACAGAATTTGATCTTTACTCCTTTCAACCTACTTTCTATCAACAAAAATATTATTAAAAAATTCTGTAAATCTGAATGACATTGTAATATGATTTCCTATGAACTTGAAGATCATATATGTATGTTCATCTTCGAATGCGCATCGAAAACTTGTACATATAAAGAAAAACAAAGGCAACATAATCGGAAAGCAAGACGAAATGCATACGGGCTTAGGTATGCGTACATATGAAACTATAAACATATAGTTTGATCACATCACATACACCAACCTCATCCTAGATCAGGGACCGTGAAGTACTCGTCGTCATCATCCGGGATCTCGATTCTAGGCTTCTTAAGAGACATGGAATACTTGGTAGGTCGGTACAAGTTCGTATTGTTCGACCGCGGCATCGGAAGTTGAGGGACTTCGGCCGGTGCTAAAGCCTCCTGAGGCAATTGATCACCGAAAAGACCAATGTCTGCTAGCCATTCGAGCTCTCCAAGCTCAGACTGCTCTTTCTGCAACAAAACAGGGAACACAAACATTACAGGAAGACGAATATAAAATTCAGAACTCGAACCGAGTGTTGGATAAATAATAGTTTCTCACCTTGCTTAGAGATTGAATGTCCGAGAGTTCCAACAGATCATCAACAGCCCATTGGGAAGCAAAGCTTGAGTGCTGATGTTGTGGCGTTTTCAGTGAGGTCTGAGGTGCACTCTTGTTGGGTGGCTCCAACACATTGCTTTCAGCCTTTTTATTGCAACTCTGACTCAAGGCGACTCGGATTCCGGTGGCGAGGAACCTTTGATGATTCGCGGCAAGGCTGCCGGCCGGATGGATCGGTTCGTCGCAATCACGGCAGAAAAGGGCTCTATCTTCAACACAAAAGATGAAAGCCGCTTTGTCCTGTATGACATATATGCACAAGATTCACAGTCTACGTTACAACATTCATACTCAGCATGTATTAAGAGGATTCAGATCCATAGTACTAAATGATGGTCACGGTTACGACGTGATTCGTATCTTAAAAATAATTACGTTCTTAAAAAAAACTTTACGAGACGACCGTTACAAAACATATGAAAAATTTCATGAGAAAAACCATAAAAAAAGTGAAATTTTGAACCTGGCAAATATCACAAGGAGGAAGCTTGTTGGAAAGGCACTGAAGGAGAAGCCTTTGGTGTTTGCTTGCAAGCTTGTTAGCTGCATGAACTTCAATGTCACATTTAGCACAAAGTGCAGCCTCATCTGCACAACATATCACTGTTGCTCGTGCTCTTTCACAGACATCACACTGGATTTTCATTTTCTTTTTCTTTCACTAAAGCTTGGATCTTTTGATTGAAGTCACTCTCCAAATCGAATATTTCCCCTTGTTCCAGAAATTCAAGAGGAACCCATTGTTCAAAACCTTGAGAAATTATAAAAAAAAATCAACGAGTAAAAAAGTTATATTTTTCCCCCGAGAAACAAACACCCAAGAGAATCCCAGAGTTTAAAATCTTGTGAAAACGATGAAAAACTGAAGCCAATAAGTGAACAAGATCTGGGTATACCTTAAAAAAGTTTCCTTTCTAGTTTTTTTCCTGAGAAAAGAGGAAAGGAAAAAGACAAAAAAATATCTGGGGGGAAAATATGGGATTTAAGAGAAGATAAGAGAGAGAACTTGGAATCAGTGGAAGATAAAAAAGTGGAAGAATTAATGGTGAAAAATCAAAGAGGGGGGGGGGGACAGGATTGGAGATAAGATTGTGAAATCAAAATCAAGAAATTTAGGCATTACAACGATGCAATTGATGGGGTCGCCATGTTCATGGATTGTGTGGCTGAGAACACTGCAATGTGTTTCATGCTACAACCTGAGAACGTGTTCTGTGGTCACCATTGTTGATTTTATTAGTGAGTTAAGATTCTCTGATATTCTTTTGTATTGGTATTATTACGTTTTCAGTCCCTTTATTCTTTTTATATTACAATATACTCCTTCTCCCCCCCCCCAGAATTTAATCTATCGATTTGAAAATTAAATTTCAATTCATAACAATATTAATGTCAAAATTCATTACATAATGCAATGAAAAAAATAATGGCTCAACTAGGAGGGAGGAAAATTTATTTTTTTGAAGTAGAGTGAAATGAATAGTGCACGGGAAAGTCGGTCGGACCATTTGATGTTTTTGAAAAGATGCTTGAAAAATATAACATTTTGTAGGTTAGTACTCTGCTAAGTGTACCGTCCAAACTACTTGTGACATTGAAAATACGTCGTTTCTTTCAGGCTTCCTCTCAAGAGCACCGAATAATACGATCGTCTCTTCTCATGTACAATTCATTTTACCCAAAAAAAAATTCTCCAAGTTCATCCAAACTATTTTTTTTCCAAATTATTATCTCATCAAATTTACCCCAATGTTATAATCAAATGCATTTTAATTTTTAAATTAGACATTCCAATATTAAAATGCCATATATTCAAGTATGAGTTATTAAAATGCCACATTTTAATTTTAAGATTAGATATTTCAAATCATAATAATATTAATCGACTCTTATTTTTTTAAATTATTATTTAATACATGATTGATTTTAAGATGACTATAAGGGTCTGTTTGTTTATGTAGAACTAATGTTTTGAAATAACAAATAAGGGTAAAAATATTTTTAGACCAAATTGAATTTATTCAAACATTATAAAAATAATTCAAAGTTATTAAGTTTTTAAAAGGTGAAATATACAATTTCGGGCATGGTTTCGAAACCCTACAAGAGGTTTCGAAACCCCTAAGGTAAAATGTAAATATGGCCAACAAGTTTCGAAACTCGTGTTCAAACGATCATAATTTTAAATGAAGGTTTCGAAACCCCTTTAAAGGTTTCGAAACCCCTACGCAAAATTGCAAAATTTTCAACTCCCAACTGCTCAAAATCATCCCAAACGGCTAGTAACTCATTCAAACATATAAAAACAAGTTGATGACACTTGAAGAATGTGACCAACACCTATCCAAGCATTCATACACAATAGGAAAAAATTTCAATCATTATTTTCCTTCTCTTGTAAATATTTGTGTTTTGAACTTAATTATATATCCTTAGGTTTTGTTTTTATGAGCTAAATCTTTGTAAACACCAACCTAGAGAGGTCTTATTGTTTAAACATTTTTTATCCTTTGTAAAGGTGTTTTGGTTCTAGTTTAGTCAAGTGAAAAAATAGGAAGTTGTAAACATTATTCTTTATCCTTGAAAAAGAAAGAACAAATTAGTGGATTTGTTGGAAAATCCTAAGTATGGAGCTTAGGTAGTGGATGTATACTTCATTGAGGGAGTTAAACCACTATAAATCATTATGCAAAATTTTCTGTCTTTGTAGTCCTTACTAGGGATGGCAACTCAACCCGAATCCGACGGGTTCCGACCCGACCCGACCCGATCGGGTCGGATTTTTTTTAAAAAAATTCGGGTTCGGGTCGGGTCGGGTTTTTTTTAAATGTACTGTTCGGGTCGGGTTTAGGGTGAAAAAAATCCGACCCGACCCTACCCGAAAAATATATATAATTTTATCCTATATATTTAGGGATAATTACAATAATGTCCCTCCATATATAATTTTTTTCAATTAAGTCACTGTTTTCATTGAATAAAATTTTTTTTATTATTATTTCGGGTCGGGTCGGGTCGGGTTTCTAAGTCATATATTCAGGTCGGGTCGGGTGAAACCTTAATTTCGTCGGGTCGGGTCGGGTCACGGGTGAAAAATCCTTTCTTCTCGGGTCGGGTCGGGTGGCCCAAAAACCCGACCCGACCCGACCCGACCCATTGCCATCCCTAGTCCTTACCCCCTAAACTTCAAAAAGCCAATTCACCCCCTCTTGGCATGTTTCGATTAATCGAACGAGCTTCATAGGTCATAACAATTGGTATCAGAGCTTGATTCATTAGAAGGTCTAATAATCTTAAGATGATCCCTGAAAAAACCCTATCCATTTCTAACACAACCGAGAATATGGTTTCCACATTCGATTCATTCTATATGGAAGACTCTTAATCGATTGACAATAACTACCGTCATTGGAAGAAATTAATGAAGATATTTATCCAATCCAATGATCTTGATGCATGAGATATGATCGAGAATGATTACTCTTCTCCAAAGAAAAAGACGAAGGAGTGGAGTGACCAAGAACGGAAGAAAGCTCAACAAAATGCCAAGGCCATGCACATGTTGTTTTGTACATTTGGTCTCGATGTATATGAAGCAATTTCTTCTTGTTCAAATGGCAAATAGCTTTGGAATAAAGTCGAAAAGACACATGGAAACAAGAAAGAAGAACCAACAAAGGTGGTGTGCTTAATGGCTCTTTTAATAAGTAACCAATGTATCTTTTAATTTTAGTGAATTTAATTCATATTCTTTTAATGAGTTACAAGATGCATACGATGAATTATTTTTGGAGTTTGAAACCATGAACTCCAAATACAAGAAATTGATTTCTAAATTTAAAGTTAAAAATGATTTTCTTTTGAAAGCTAAAATAGATTTTGAAAAATCAAAATGAAATTTTGAAAAAGATTTAGAGCTTTCAAAAATGAAAAATGAAAATTTTGAAAGAGAAATTTTTGATTTAAAAGTTAAGCTTGAATGCTTAACAAAAGAAAAAATAAATTATTTTAAATAATTCATCTAGTTTAATAATGGAAAATGCTCACATTACCATTATCATGGTCATTTGGAACATACTTGTCCTTTAAAAAAATGAAAACATTTTAAAATTATACAAGTATGAGTTCCTTCTAGGTGTGTGTGAGCAATGCTGATGAAAGTGAAGATATTCAAATACTCTAGCCACACTTGATATGAAATGGGTAACCTCTAAGTTTATTTTGATTATCTTGCATAATTGCTTGCTCATTTGGTTTATACATGTATGAGTATTGAGTATGGATGATTATATGTTATTTATTATCTCATGTATGTTGAAAATGTGTTATGATGAACATATTTTAAAGTTTTTTTTATCAATTTTAATTCATTATAATGTTTTTGGTCAAGTTATATTTCTATGTTTTAAATGGTTCTTTCAAAATATCTTGACCTTTAAAGTGCGCCTTTATTGAAAACTATTTTTAAAACAAGTGATATCATTAATTTATTGAACAATTTTAACATTTGGAATCACTTTAAGCTTATGATGCCAAATTTGATAATGTTTTTAAATCTTTTTTATTGGTGTCATTTTGGATGTTTATGCATGTGATTTATTACAAATGATATCTCTCTAACAATTTATATCAATTTTTCAAATGCATAACATTTTTGGATAACTTTATGCACATGCACTGAATTTCAACAATTAGTATTGCATAGAGTATATTAGACTTGAATATATTGAATTTCTTGTGCTACTAACTTATTTGTTCATCTTTGTTGAAATTCAATGTCTTTTAAGTGTCAAACTTTTAAAGTTAAATTTTTATTTGGAATGCATTTGTTGAGAGGAACTTTGATTTTTCAAACGATTTTAATGTTAAATTATTACTTACTCTCCAATGTTATATTTGAACCTTAAATGTTGTAATTATTTTTTATAAAAAAAAGGGCAGAAGTATGAGTTAAAAATTTAACTTCAATTATGAAAAGGGGGAGCTTCAAAAACTATTTTTCAAATGTTTTGTTATATAAAGAAGGGAGAGATTGTAGAACTAATATTTTGATATAACAAATAAGGGTAAAAATGTTTTTGGGCCAAATTGAATTTGTTCAAACATTGAAAAAATAATTTAAAGTTTTTAAGTTTTTAAAAGGTGAAACATGTAATTTTGGGCCCCCTGCAAGAGGTTTCGAAACCCCTGAGGCAGAATGTAAACCTGGCCTACAGGTTTCGAAACCCCCAAAGGTTTCCAAACCCCCTGTTCAAACAATTATAATTTTAAATAAAGGTTTTGAAACCTCCTTTAAAGGTTTTGAAACTCCTACACAAAATTGGAGATTTTTAGCTCCCAACGGCTAGAAATGACTAGTAACTCATTCCAACATATAAAAACAAGTTAAGGATACTTGAAGAAGGTGACCAACACCTATACAAGCATTCATACACGAGAAAAAAATTTCAATCCTTATTTTCTTTTTCTTATAAATATTTGTGCGCTTAATTGTATATCATCGGGTATTACTTTTGTGAGCTAAATCTTTGTAAATACCAACATAGAGAGGTTTTATTGTTTACACATTTTTTATCATTTGTAAAGGGGTTTTGGTTCTAGTTTAGCCAAGTGAAAAACTAGGGAGTTGTAAATGTAACTCTTGATCCTTGAAAAATAAAGAACAAATTAGTGGATTTGTTGGAAAATCCTAAGTAAGGAGCTTAGGTAGTGGATGTAGACTTCATTGAGGGAGTTGAACACTATAAATTATTGTTCAAATTTTACTATCATTATACTCCTTACTCCATAAACTTCAAAAAGTCAATTCACCCCTCTTAACATATTTCGGTTGATCGAACGAGCTTCATAGATCCTAACGGTTTCCCTGTGATTGGTTTTCTGAAAAATGTTTTCTTCATTTTTCAATGTTTGGTTGGCGGGAAATAGATGATCAATGTAATTTATTTTTCTTGTCAACTGAATTTTCTTTGCGTTTTCTGAACAATTACTTATCATCTGATTTTTTCGTAAGTTATTTTACAAACTTTTCACTTCAAAGCATAAACACTCAAAATATTATTATTTTATATATTTAATACTAATTTATTATTTTAGTATCATTTTAATAAAAATATTAATTATTAAATTATATTTGTTGATAATTTTTAATAATATAATATTATTTTTTGTTATAATTATATTATTATACATATTTTTTATAATTATATTATTATAATATATAATATTATACGTTTATTTTAATATATATAATAAATTTTTAATAAAATTATTATTATTTATTATTATAATAATAATATATAATAAATTATTCTAATATTTTAAAAATAATAATATTATTTTGTTAATAAATAATATTATTTATTTTATTTGATGTTTATAATAAAGAATATTTAAAAAATTTATCAACTAGTAGAAAATGAATTACATAACACCATCCAAACACCGTAAAATGATTTTCAAAAAATATTTTTCAAGAAATGTAATTTATTTTATGGAATTCTTTTTCCAAAATCTATTTTCCATGAAACAAACAAACCCCAAGTGTGATATTTATTTATAATTCTTTAAAATATTTGTCATCGTTTTAAGGTTACTTGTAAAATTATTTTATTTTTACTTCCGGTTCCATGAAGGGAGCCAGACCAAACGGGAGACTCCATGCCAGTTTCGCCATAGCGTCCGCAACTTGATTCCCTTCGTGTGGCACATACGACAACCGGACTTGCCAATTTCTAGCAAGGATCTCAAGCAAATGTGGAAGCATATGAGAACTACCACTCCTACTCCCTCCATGTTGTATAAGTTCCAGAGAAAATAATCTCAGTGATCAAAAATATCTTATAATATACATATTTTAACCACGAACACGATCACGACCCGACCCGACCCGACCCGAGACGGCGGCGGCGACACGCGAGAGTCTTCCTTGTTCTCTATCACTCAACAAGGAAGTGGGAAAGCCAAGCCTTAAATACCATTCCCCAATAGTGTTTTCAATACTATGTGGGATTGAGCATTACCAACACTTGTTCCCAATACTATGTGGGATTGAGCCTTAAATAATGATATTATTTTTGAATGTTTTACTTAAAATTGCAATAATCGCGATTGATTGTAGATTGACTTTTAATTATGACATATTTAATCGTATAATACTAATGCAATTGGTTGCTGATTTAGTTGTTTTAAGGTGCATGATTGTTAATTGTTTCCTGAATAATCACATTGTATTGGAAACAAGTGTTGGTAATGCTCAATCCCACATAGTATTGGAAACACTATTGAGAATGGTATTTAAGGCTTGGCTTTCCCACTTCCTTGTTGAGTGATAGAGAATAAGGGGGACTCTCGCGCGCCGCCGCCGTCCGTCTCGTCTCGGGTCTGGTCGTGGTAATACGTGTCTTCGACACGTCTGCGCGAATACTATCTTTTTAGAGAAAATTCTTAAAAAACACATGCAATACCACCAGTCGTTGCGATTTGGGACTATCGCAACGAATTTGAAATAAATCGCAACGCGAACTTTGACTATCACAACGAATTTGGAAAATCGCAACGCGAACTTCGACTATCACAATGCGAATATGTAAATCGCATTGCGATAGTCCAAGTTCGCGTTGCGATAGTCGAAGTTCGCGTTGCGAATCTGGAAACTGGTTTGATATACCGGAGATCGCGTTGCGAATTATCGATCACATTGCGATTTAGTTGGTCATTTTGAAAAATCTAAAAAAAGTTGGTTAAATCGTATACTATAAGGTATTTTTTGATCACTGAGGTTATTTTCTTAATTTTTTAATATTTTTCTATGATTTTCATCTACAACATTATTATTAATCAACATTTTCGATCAGTAAACAAACTTTATTAAGTATTTTATTATATTTCCGGTAACATAGGATATTAACCGTATATTAGTTCACACAACCCGTATTGTGAAAGAAACAAATTTTGTTCATTTTCTTTCGAGTGACCAGAAAGTGTTCAAGAATGTGAAAGTCTGTCTAAATTAATCTTGTATATATACACTTCAACCCTGAATTCCAATTCATTCTCCGAGTCAACTCAGATCTCTGTACACACCATCTAAGGCAGCCGCAGATGATCTTTTACTGAAGAAATGAAGTTTACAAAATAGGAATCGAAGGATGAAGAAGAAAGGAGAAATGAAAAAGGTTAAGAAGGTGAAAGGCAAGGTCCACGATGGCGAACACGATGATCCTTGGTGGTCACTAGTTCAAAACGGGATCAAACCCTCGTTCCTTTGTATATCAATATTCGCTCTATTGGTTCGCGTCGCCGTTGGGCTTCATCCATATTCCGGCGCCAATACTCCACCCAAGTTCGGCGATTACGAGGCGCAAAGGCATTGGATGGAAATCACTCTTAATCTTCAACCAAAAGACTGGTATCGTAACAGTAGTGTTAACGATCTTTCTTATTGGGGCCTTGATTATCCGCCATTAACTGCCTACCAAAGTTACATCCATGGGGTTTTCCTTAAAACCTTCGATCCCGATTCCGTTGCACTTTTCACCTCAGGAGGCTATGAATCTTACATTGGGTGAGCGTTTTTTTGCTGGGTTTTCAGTGTTACTTCTTTTGGATTTTTTATTTTCGATTTATCGACTTCCGATTGCGGTGTTTGTGGCACAAAATGGCAGGAAATTGCTAATGAGGTGGACTGTTTTATCTTCCGATGTGCTGGTATTCTTCCCGGCATCTCTTTATTTTGTGTTTGTGTATTCGATTCGGCTTGGCACAGGCCGAAACAGCGATGTAGCTTGGCACATTTCAATGGTTCTGCTGAACCCATGCCTGATCTTGATTGACCATGGTCATTTTCAGGTATTTTCAAGCCTTTTTTCCATTCCATTTCTACTAAATTATGAAAGATTAAATTGGGTATTAATATTTGTTTTGGTTCCTTTTGTAGTATAATTGTATCAGCTTGGGTCTTACCATGGCTGCCATTGCTGCAGTACTCTCTCAGAAGGACCTTGTGGCTTCTGTGCTGTATTGTCTTGCTCTCAACCATAAACAGGTGTCTTATGGTTTAGCTTTTGTTTTGCTGCATATCCATGTTCACCATTATGTATCTTAAGGACAACTTTGCGATGTCATGTAATTCGAGAAAATTGATAAATGCTAATAGATGTGAAAGGGAGGATTTTTTATGGAACATAAGAACTGTGTAGATCATTCGTGAGGTACCACATCAAAGATAACTTTTCAAGAGATTTTAACTTCATTTTTATGAAAGAATGGTGTATGGCTATTTATATTTGGGTCATTGCTAAAGGAAGTTTTGTGCTGTTCTCTTTAATTTGATCATTTAAACAACATTGGGAATAATTAGGAGATGATAAAAGAAAATGAAAAAGAAGGAAAATTGTAGATATGATGCTTTTGCGGGACAAGGTTTCAGTATACCTTTTAATGGTAACCTTGTTGCACGGAGACTTTCAATGTTTCAAGAGCATGTGTTAAATACAACCGCATGTGGCCTTTTCTATTGATTACACTTTGAAAGATGCTTTAACTTCTGGACACGATCAAGCTGTTAGCTGTGTGAGAGTTCTTATTACTAGACACTATTCGCACGTTACATGCACATAGGAATTACTTTTCCCTTCCATGATGATATAAGTTATTAGAGCATGACCATCTTTGTTCCTGCAACCTTTGATTATAGTTTTATAAGGGTTCATTTTCTTATCTGTTGGAATCTTGAAAAAGCCAGTTAGCTTTATAATAACTAATAGTCTAATTTGAGTATAAGAAGATTTGATCCTTTTCTAGAATAATTATATGGCTTTCGTCTGGAATCGGGATATATGTATTTCCTGGGTATTGCTTGGTAGGAAAGATAGAAATAGGTATTTTAGTGGATAGATTTCATAGTGACATTCCTATTTATAGCTCAACCATTAAACAAAACAATTTTCCATCCTTATCCATCTCCTTATTACCAAGAAGTGTCTCATCTATATTTCAGTTAAGAAGCTAACAGAGGAATAGAGGATACACAACAAATGAAAGACTACGGCTGAGGAATCCAACTGTATCAAATAAATTCACATGAAAAATTACTACATCCACTCAATTTATTTGTTATTTGGTCTATGTAAGATCTTTATTAGTTGATTTATTCAGGATTAGAATTTTAATATGGATCTTTCTATGTTTTCATATTTTCCAGATGAGTGCATATTTTGCACCTGCCTTTTTTAGCTATCTGTTGGGCAAATGCCTGAAGAATAAAAATCCACTGGTCGACTTGGCAAAGCTGGGATTGATGGTTATAGGAACGTTTGCTGTTGTCTGGTGGCCATATCTTCAGTCAAAAGAGGCTGCTTTGACTGTAAGTTGCAGAATGAGATCCTTCCCTCCCTCACTCTCTCTCTCTTTTTCTAAATTTCTTTACTCTCTAATTAGCTTTCTGTTCTTAGTTTGCTCTTATTAATAATTATAGAACTTCTCTTTTCCATTTTTTTTTGTATGTTTGTGTTATTTATGCAGAAATCATGGTTGTTGTTGATGGTCTGTTTGTTTGTATTTCATATGTTAACTACCTTTTCGTTTTTTTATTGAATATAATTTATGGGATTTATTTTGGATTGGCAACTACATCGGTTGTTAATCTTTTTTGTCAAACAAGAGCCCAGATGCTTCTCAATTTTTACTCATACTGCATCTTGCTGGTGTGGAACTAGCTTTTAAATGAGATTGGTATTCAAGGCAATAATCAACCTAGGGCATTAACCTTTCCTTGAGATTCGCCCATCAAAGTATGCCATATTGTAATTAATCTTGTCTGGAGAGTGGGGAGTATAATTGCTTGAGGACTAAATGAAACTTATGGATCATTCCCATCATAATGGATAGAAAAAATTCTAACATCCAATATTTGTTATATTGCTTTTTACCAGAGGTGACGCATCTTGTCCGAAGAAAATTTTCATAATGGTTTTCTTTCCAAATGAAAATAATATTGGTGCTTGTTGCAGGTTATATCTCGTCTTGCACCATTTGAGAGAGGGATATACGAGGATTACGTGGCTAATTTTTGGTGCACCAGTTCCGTGCTGGTGAAATGGAAAAAGTTATACACTACACAATCATCAAGGATTTTTAGCCTTACCGCAACCCTTTTAACATGTCTGCCCTCAATGGTTCAACAAGTCCTTGTTCCGAGTCGTAAGGGCTTTCTCTATGCATTGCTTAATAGTTCTTTCTCGTTCTACTTGTTCTCTTACCAAGGTTTGTATCTCCTTTCGTTCTTCATCCTTCTGGCCTTATTTATTTTCTCGTAACGGTTCTTGACATCATTTCTTATCGTTGAAATATGCAGTGCATGAGAAGTCTATTCTGCTTCCGCTTCTGCCTCTTGCCCTATTAGCTTTGGAAGAGCGTCGCTCGTTACTCTGGCTAACACATTTTGCAATGTTCTCTATGCTTCCTCTTTTACATCGAGACAAACTGATTCTACCGTACATGGCAATTTACACTCTCTTCATCCTTGTCTATTTTGCACCTGATGGTCCAGGTGCGCGATGCAATGGCAGCAAGACTCTCGATCATAGCCCAAAGAAGACCAGGAGAGGCATGGAATTCATTTCTTTCATCGCTTTCCACCCGTTTGTAATGGGCTTTCTGGGTTTGTGTTCTCTGATTCTGCATGTTATTTATCTAACCATGCATCCTCCGAATAGGTACCCTTTCCTCTTTGAAGCAGTGATCATGCTTATCTGTTTCTCTCAGTTTGTTTTATTCACTCTTTACTTCAATTCGAAGCAGTGGATGTTATCGAAACATGTAACATCACAAGATAAACAGAAGCTTATTTGATCATTACACCAACATTAGTGACATGAGAACACATCTGATTTTTATTGGAATGGAGCGGCAGACTGATTTGTTAGTAATTGGTTTTGCATGCGTGCATATGTATGTTTCATGATGAATAGAGCTTGCCGAGTGGTCTGCCTCAGGATGGACGGAGGGGTGCAGGGGTGTGATCACACCACTTGATAATTTGAAATTTTCATATAATTTAAGTTTTTTGTATTTCTTATTGATGATCTAATTTTGTACTCTAAATTTTTAATATAATTTTCTAAATATGATCTCTTATATATCTTCAGTTCCTGCCTGTCCATAGCTATGTAACTCAGCTTCATAGCTCAAACCAAACTAAATACATAGATTCTTCTAAGCTGAACATAATCACAATCATTTCATTAATCATCAAAAAGTGCACATTGTCATCCACTGAACACCAAATATAAATCTATTACAGAAATACTTCTTGTGATTGGGAGTAAAATGACATCAATGCAAAACTAACAATCAAAATCCAGCTTTCTAAGCCAAATGGTAGAATGATAGACTTGGCGCAGCCCTGTTTTCACAGGTCTCTGACACTCAAACCTGCAAACATAAAAAATAATGATTTGTATGGTAAAAAAAGGCGTCTGAGAACATTTCAATGTTACCAATATGATAAGAAACACACATATACAGACAGCAATGGAAAGTACGACACGTTTCTGCTGCGCATGTACGATTCTATAATGTTTCTGCTGGCCAAGAACATTGAGAAGTTACTAACACACAAGGAATAACGAAAGGATCTATTGTAATGTTGCGGGAAATAGAAAACTAATTTTTTTTTATCTACAATTCTATAACATGCTGGTTCATTCAAAACAAAGAAAATAAGAGGATACTCTAATTCATGCATAACAAACCTACCCGGAGGAAGAGATCATAACCATAAAGGCAGAACGGTGACACCGACTCCTCATTTCCTAAAAGTATCAGCGTATTCTATGTATCCAATCACATGCATGGAAATATGAGTAAATACATGAAACTCTGAAGAAAAATTGAATCCATCCGGGTCCAGGTAAAACATAAGGAGATGCTAATTAGCAAATAAACAACTCAAACAAGAGTGCAAAAAGCACAAATCAATGCTAAAAGACCAGAAAATTTAACACATTCTTCAACAATAACAAATATGATGAGGTAGGTGGCATTCAAACATCATTGATCCCAAATTATTGAAGTTTTCCACTACAAAAATCTACCTAACACATTCAGAATCTTGAATCAATGGGCACTTACAATACACAAACATCTTCATTATCACATCAAGCACCCGCATTTCACTCCAACTGAACTAAACATCTATGTTTAACTGATGATACTAAATCTTTCACAGATGGAACCAATATTAAGCAAACCAAACCAATGTTGCTAAACAAGACAAACCCATCAATTGAAAGCACTAATTATCATAATTGTACAGTATCTAGAACTCTTTAAGACAAAGCTCACATTCTTCAATTTTTTCTCATTTCAAAATACATAAATAAAGGTAATCCGTTGTCCATCTAAAGAAAAGAATGCTAGCAAAGAGATACACGCAAGGGGGAGGAAATGAACATGAAATCAATAAAATTTTCAGAAATCTAAAGAGATAATTGAAGATAGAAATGGTTTTAACCATTTTCTATGGAAGCTGCTTGAAATCCAGACAGGAAAGACCGCTCCAAACCCTAATTTTTGCGATATTCGATCATTTAAATACGCTCGCTACAAAGCCCTACGGGGCGAATTTCCTTTGTTTATATTGCTTTATTATTTGTATTATTAATCTAATGTAATTACAAGTCAACATAGGTTAAAAGATAACTTTAAATTTTAGTAAGCACAAGACATTATCCAGAGAATTTAAATACGTTTAGTTTTTCATTTTATTTTAGTATTCGTCGTTAAAAAAATTTAACACGTTTATTAACTAAATTTTTAATTTTTTCACAAATCAACATTAAATTTTGATCGGAGTACTAAAATGAAATAAAAACTAAACTTTAGGTATAATTTTTGAAAAAAATAAAAATTTAGATACTAAAACGAATCAAAAGTGATAGTTTAAGTACTAAACACATAATTTATCCTAAAATTTATTAGGAACTCTAAATATATTTACTAATTTAAGTTCGTTTACTTAAAATTTCATTATTTTGATAAACATTGACGTTTAAATTTAATATTTCTTTATATTTAGTTTTTTTTATAAAAATAAATTCAGGTCAACGATGACTCTCTTAGTCTAGGATCAAAGCATATGATATCTAAAACCTAATTGAGATTTAAATAAGAATTTACATATTGTCCACCAAGAGTGACGGTGGTAAGATTCGAACTTAACCTTACAAGTACAGATTTTAATTCTTGAATCTCAACCACTTGTTAATAATATATAGTACATTATGATATTATGATGAGATATTTAAAAACTATATTTAAAGCAAAGAGATAAAATTTATATTTCAACTCTTGCTTTATGCACAAACCACCCTATACAAGCCCTTAGGTACTGCATGAAACCGAGAAACAAATCTACTGAGGGTTCAGAAGCAAAATAAAAAACAAAACACTAAGCCTTCTACATTTCTTAAACGCGACGATCACGTCGACGGGCAGTTATTTTCCCGTTCAGCGGAGCCGCACTGTATTAAAGGGGAAACTGAATAGACGAGCTTGACGGGATGGAAGGAGGATCACGGCTACATGGGAGGGGGCGGAGGAGGGAGGATGGTGTTGGCGAGATCTAGGTTCAGTTTCATAAGTTGTGGCATCTGCTTCATTATATCCGGCACGTTGTTATTCATCCTGCAAATGGAAATCAATAGAAGCATGTAAGGATCCTACCGATACCCATGTTCGGATGTACATCGAACACAATGATGAACAAGGGTAGTTGTAAAGGAACTTGATTCTTCTTTTATGACAAACGAATTAAGAGTTCGAGTACCATAGAAAGGGATGTTTAACAAAAACCGGAACTTACTCGTTCATGAGCTTGAGAAGATTGTCCCGAGTTTGGCAGAGGAGGCCGATATTTTCCTGTATCTGGAAAAGGGTAAAGGAGAGTAGAGATATGTTCCATTAGCACCCGCCAAGACCGACTGAACAACACGGAAATTTGGCTTCACCAACACCAACGCACTTCCTCTATTCGCTTTTACATTTTCCGTATTGCAACTATGCTCATAATATATGCTAACTTAAAACATTTAATCCTGGTAATGGCAGATATCAGGCGACACGAGAGACTCCAAATAGTTTTTATAATAGATAGATAGAGAATTGAAGCTATACTACTAGGACTCCGGCATGTTCAAAATTCTCAGTTTTTCCATGTATCTAACAGATATTTGGGAGGTCCGACCCCATACTCATGTCTGAATATACATCGGGACATTGGTGTAAACACGAGTACTTCAAGAAAAATGAAGAGTGAGATTAACTTGGTAGAATTCATCTACTAATAGCATAATTACTTACCTTAAATGACGCAAGATTTTCAGATATTTGATTCAAGGCTTGAGCGTTCTGCTCCAGAAGTTCTCCTGCCACCCCGCCGATGGCTGTGAAATGGCATTAATGCAGTTTTTAGATTAAATTTTCCAACAATAACGGCATGGAAGACAAGGGGTTTTTCATGCTTAGAAAACTTCGGCAACCAGAACACTAAATTCATGTTCCTCGTTTGCGAAACCAATAATCAAGAACAGAAAAGGCATTTGATAAACCAATTAAGGTGTATTTTTAATAAAGTATAAAACTTGCTAGTAAGAATCAACAAAGACTTGGATATTACGAGCGACTTAAAAATTGTCAAAGATAAAATCCAACCTCCGAGTGGAATGCCATCATTGTAGTCCACAGGAATCATTGGAGTTGGATATGGGGGATTACTAGATTGACCAGCAAAATGAGTAGGCTTTGCTGAAGGGTCAACTACTCTTTCCTGAAAGAAAAACAAAAATTATTGTCAAGTGTCTATTGGCCCAAAATATGATCTTAAAATAAAAATATTGCCTTATTTCACATCATATAGACAATATTATCATGAACTGGAAACTATGAAAGAAAACTTTCTGGTAAGTCTAAATATCAGCCAAAGTGGTAAACTTATCATCAGACAAATGACCATACCAAAGAGGCACATCTGAAGAGATATGAATGACCGCGGATAACAATGGACCCAAAGCAAGTTTATCAAGGATAAGCGATTCCTATGAAGTATGAACCTAAGGTAACCGAGCAAAATTCCACCAAAGAAATAACTGCTTAGCAGAAGGAAGAAATTCAATCCTCATCCAACATCTATACTAAGAAAAATTAAACTATTACTCCATAACTCTCTTGAGTTCAAGAAGTTTCCTTCGACTACCTCACATGTATAAGAGAGTTTTCGATCGTGAATGAAAGCATTCATTCACATCTCTTCAGATGTGCATGGTTGGAAGAGGAGTTAGATGGTTAAACAGAGAACTTCTGCAGGACAGTTCCACTGAGAGATAATTTACTTTTAGTTTATGTCTAATTTTATGAATTCTAAGAAGTAACTAAGAAGGCTGTTAGGAGCAATCGGAAAACAAATTAGTGCAACTTTGCTCACATAAAGAGAAAAAAAAACAAGAAACCATACCTTTTTGTCTTTACTTTTCCTGGCATGACAGTGCTCTTCCTTCTTTCTCTTGCTAGTTTCCTTCTTCTGCATAAAGCATAAATTAAGTCATGCACTTATAATAAACAAATACATGCATAAACAACATTTTACTATGTAAAAGCAGAGCAAATATCCTCTGGACCAATCATAAATGCTTCATCAAAAGAGAAAAAAACTTGCATTCATCCATCTGCAACGCAAAGCCACATCCCGTACTGTCTTATTTTGCAAGTTCATGGCTATCTTCGCGTAACGAGTTATGCTCAGATCTAGTGCAAATCTGCAAGAAATACCAAGGCACCACTGAGAAAATTAAATTGACGAACTAAATTCCGCCCGCGGGGGGGGGGGAGAAAAACAATTCAGCTAATTAACCATGAAAGTGAAGTAGTTCAATTAATTGGCATAAAAGAAACAAAATACAAGACAAATTGAATAACAGAAGTAAAAATGATCATCCAGTATTCGTTAATAGCCACGGAATATGAAAAAAATGAAAGGGAGGGGAGCAAACAGAAGAAAGGGACGATTGTCTCTCCATTTGTTTTTCTCCCTCGAGAAACTTAGATACCCATCTCACCAGTAATACCTCCTCCAAGAATGGTTGTTTGAAAAACTTGGTAAAATTGTTTCTTTGATTCTATAATTAACCGAAGTTAAGGAATATAATCAACTCATTCATGAAAATAAACAGAAAAGGAAAATAGTTAGATTATAAAGAATACATATTGTAAAATGAAAAACATAAGTGACATCTAAACATATTAAATCACTCACCAATTTCTGTCTAATAATTGACTCAAAGAAATCCTACCATACCAATCCTAATTACTTGCCAAATTATAAAAAACAATTGGAGACTCCAAGTATGGAATAGAAGAAACTACATGCATATAAACAGCGAACCCAATGTGATTCTCAACACCAAATATCAGCGTTTTATAGTACCCAAAAGAAACAGTTGAAAGAGAGAATCTGTTCTTTGCAGTCATTGCCTAACAAGTGCAACAAACTGGATGGGCAATTGCCAACTACCTAATTAAGAACTTCAGCAGATGCCTTGATGCATGACGCCCCCTCTTATGCGTTACTTAAGAAATAAATGTTCTTAAGCGATACCCCTTCTTATGCGTTACTAAAAACAGTAAATGTTCTTTCTCGCAACAGACTACCTGCACTAAGACTTTTATGTTGACTGGACCACAAGAAAAGTGGCAAAAGACTTGTTTTCAAGTCATCAACTGATACCAGTACCGGGTTCAATGCTTGGACAACCTCTATTCCCTTCCCCTTCTTATGAACTCCAGCAGAAGTCTCAATGCATGCTACCCCTTATGAGTTACATAAAATAAACGTTTTTTGTGCAACAAACTATACATATATAAATGAGGAATCAGATTTCAATTTCCTAACAAGTGTAATGAACTGGATGGACATTTTCCTGACAAGTAACGCAATATAAGGGTCCAACCAGTTCTTTGCCATCATTTCCTAACAAGTGTAACGAACTGGATGAACATTTTCCAGATACTCAATTAAGAACTTCAGCAGATGACTCAAGGTGAGGTATCGCTTCTTATGTGTTACTTGAGAAATAAATGTTATCTGCAGCAACAATATCTAAAATTTATTACTAATAAAATGGGTAGGAGGCTTCACTTTGGACCCAATCCAGTTATTGTTTAAGCTTCCAGATGCATATTTGTAATATATCTCTCTTATTACTAAATAAAGGATGAAGCCATAGCCCACCAACTCCAAAACTACCCTTCTATAATGCAAGGCCCAAGATCATTGCCCTCTACCTCCTTAACTATATCTAAAGAAGTATCTTTTATTCTTCTTTCTTTACATTTATGAAATGCTCTTCTTGCTTGTTCTTGTTTGTTCACCTCATTAATTGCCTACCAAATTATTAAGAAACATTTCTAAAAATGAACTTTTCAGCTTCTTCTCTTTCTGTTTTAGACGAATCTAATTTTTTTCCTCTTCTAGTTACATGTTTGATTAATGAAAATCAGTCAAGAGAACTTCTCATACTATTGTGGCTTGGAGGAAGGAACGAGTTTAACTCAATAAAATGATTTATCGATATAGGCTCGAGTGCTTTTTACTCAAATGCCAGTTTAAAGAGAATAAAAGATCATGATATCATTTATCTAGTCTTATGAGGGATAAAATACTGAATAAAGAACCCTTAATAAGGAAATCATTTAATTTCTTTCCAAAAAGAGGTACATACTAGCATGTCATAATTCATTAGGATATGATAACTAATCTTCTACCTCACAAGCCTACCAGCTAGGAACGAAACTCTCAGTTACCTCTGAATTAAGCACGATACAGGAGGAAAACTAGAAATAAGACAATGATACCAATTAGAGCATGAGTATCATCCATTACATATAGTGCGCCTAACTTTTAGATTACTTACCAAGATAAGTCACCTGATGTTTCTTTTACTTCTTTTGACACAAAAGAAATAACATATTATTTTGCCAAACCACACGGTAACTACTAAACATGGGGAAGCTTAGCCCAAATAAAGGTTTTATCCACAGAAAAGATTAAAAACAAAACCATATCGAGCAAACACAAAAACATATAACGAAATAATGAATGGTTCAATCATCAACAGAAATAGAAAATTTCACTCTTGAAACTTTAAGATCCAATATCAAAAACTTTTGCTTGTCTCCAGGTTACCAATGGTAAGCGCCAGTAAGATATAGAAGATCAAAATTCTTTTTATTTTCTTTTCCTTCTTCCCCATTGCTAACAGGTAAAGATTGGAGATTCCAAGAAGGGAAACAAGGTGGGTTGTGGGAACTGGGAAGGGTGTTGTGAAGAAGACAATGGGTATTGAAAAAACATGGATTGGGGATACGATATAGGAAAAGAACGCAAAATGGAAGAAGCAAGCAAAAAATTAAAGGAGACATGATAGGCAAAATGAATGAAAATTGAGAAGGATGGAAAATCACAAGAGAAAATTTGATTTTTATAATATTTATATATAAAAAAGTCTAAATTAGTGTAGTGAAGTTATTGACCTAACTAAATGTAACTAAATTTAGTCCCATTAAGAAAAGAAATGCAGAAAACAAAGGAAGTTTAAGAGAACCACATTCTTATGAGCAGATCAGATAAAGTTTGAATACCATGATTTCCAAATACAAGAACAATAGTCGGAGGAAGTAAGATGCTTTAGATATGTAAGCCACTTGATTAGATGTCCAGACACTAAGAAAGATGCAAAACATACAAAAAAAGTTATACTTTCAATTATGGAACCACCACGTTGCACCTTTTAAAGACAGGTGATCGTGATTCAATAAGTTTCAATATAATTCAAGCCAAAAGTAACCCAAATGTTAGAGAACAGACATTATTCAAATGCCTCCTAATGGAAATATAATATCTGAGGTCAGCGCTATCCACTTCCAAGCACAATATTTCATTTTACCTTCAGTATTTTGGCACCAAAAAAGCTACAATGACAAACATAAGATTTCTAAACAGCATTTAAAACACCTAGTTTATGACCTATGTTGCTCTGGCTTTTCATTTTTCTTGAAATACTCATGTCCGATACCTGTGTCCAACACACAGATATGGGATATGACATCCAAGGTCCTCAGAATACATGAAAAACCATATAAAAAGGTCTAACCATAACCATGTCAGAAACAGACACATTCGAGTAACTTAGCTTACAGCAATTTAAATACTCAGATTGCAACTATGATAAACAAGTTGAGAATACATAAAACATCTCAAACCATTGAATGGAACAGTGATGGATATAATTAAATACGTTGCTCCCATACATATCGGCTACCAACTTTTCCCTGGCCTCTAAAAAACTTATGCACTGCAATATTTACAGACTATTGGCTTATTTATCATTTGCAAACAGTTCTAAGAAACCACAATTCAAACAAGAACCCAACTAAAAAATTTGCATTTCTAGCATAAAAAAATAAAAAAAAATCTACGTTAAAAACTACAAAGATCTACAAAAGATAATTCCACCTAAACTCTACGAAACTAAAAGAAGAAAAACAAAAGACAAAAGAGTACTCACGTTTTTAACCAGTCTTCGAGTATAACTTGCTCTTCTAATGTCCAATCCATCGAAATACCAGGGTTATGCTTCAAACCCGAACCCAAGGTGTCGGGTGCCGGATTCCCGTTGTTCAAGTGTGCTCCATTAAAAGAGGGGGACGGGCGATTCGCTTCTTGTTGATGGTTCCCCGGTGGGTTCGCCATCAAATTTAGCTTCAAAAGAAGAATCTCCGATTTTCAACCCCGCCCCACTTTTTTTAGGTTTTACATAAATCAGAGTGGGAATCAAACAATAAAAGATAACAACCCTTCAGAGATAAGAGAATCGGTTACTTCCCATCAGCTGAAGCGTTCCCGCCATTAAAGAAACAACACCCAGATTAAAAAAAACACACACAAGGGGAAATAGCTATCAAAGATTATCAAAGCTAAATCAGAATTCAAATATGGGAAAATATTAGATTAAAGGGAGCTGTTCTAACTCGAAATTGAATCAGCACAAAAGAAAAGGGAGAAAAAAACTAAGAATTCGAGAGACAGAGAGAGACAAATAGAGATTCTTGTACCGGAAAAGTGTAGGAACATAGGTGAAATCAAATCATAATCGAATTTGAATTGTGAGACAAAAATCAAAAGGTTGCTTTCTGATTTGAAGTTACATAGTTCAAAAAGCACATTTAAGATCCGTTTCGAAAAACAGATTCTGGAAATATATTTTAGTGAAATGGATCATATTTCATAAAAACATTTTCTGAATATTATTTATTATTATTTTTATTAAGGGTCTGTTTGTTTAGCTGTAATTGGTTTTCCAGAAAATGAATTATTGGAATTTGAATTACTGGAATTTGAATTACTGGAAAATGAATTACTGGAATTTGAATTCTGGAAAATGAATTACATTTCTGTAAAATGAATTACATTTCTGGAAAATGAATTACATTTCTGGAAAACATCTGGAAAACGTTTTTATGATGTTTGGAAGATGTTATTTAAACATTTTTTCGGTATATTTTAGTGAAATAAAATTTTATAAATTATATTAATTATTTATTAAAGTAATAGTACTATATTATATTATAAAAATATTAATTAGTATATTTTAATCTTTACTAAAATATTATTGAAATATATAAATAAAATTATTCATTATTAAATATATAAAAAAATTTATTATATATTATTAAAATAAAAATATAATATATTATATTATTATAATATAATTGATTATTTTATATAATATTAAAAATATAATATTATATTATTATAAATATTAATAAATATATTTTAAATATTTTAATAATTAATATTTTGATGAAAATGATATTAAAATATTTTATTAATATTAAATTCATAAAATAAAATTATTTTGAGTATTTTTGCTTTGAAGTGTAAAGTTCGGAAAATGACTTACGGAAAATGAATCCATAAGTCATTTTACAGAAAACACAAAGGAAATTCTGTTACTAGGAAAATGAATTACATTCCGAAAAACGAATTACGTGAAACAAACACGGGAAAACGTTTTCCAGAAAACGAATTACGTGAAACAAACACGGGAAAACGTTTTCCGGAAAACGAATTACGTGAAACAAACACAGGAAAACGTTTTCCGGAAAACGAATTACGTGAAACAAACACGGGAAAACATTTTCCGGGAAAATGAATTACGTGAAACAAACACATGAATTCGGGGAAAACCAATTCCGTAATTTCAATTACGGGAAACAAACAGACCCTAAGTTAAGATAATTATAAAATATTATATATTTTAAAAACTTTTAATTATTTAATTATAAATGTCTAATTATCTTGCTGCAATTCATACTGCTCGAACTTATAACATCTAGTAATAACTACGATTTTTTTAATCACTGAGGTAAATTGATTAGTATTTTATTTTCTATTAGCTAGTAAATTTTTTAAAATTCTTTATTATAAATATCAAATACAATATATAATATTGTTCATTAACAAAATAATAATATTATTTTTAAAATTTTAGAATAATTTATTTAATATTATTTAAGTAAATATTTATATTAAAATATTACATTTATAATTTTATAAATAAAAATATTAAATAATAATGTTTTGAGTTCTTACGCTTTAAAATAAAATAAAATTATTTATTATTATATTAATTATTTATTGAAATAGAAATAATAGATTATTAATTATATATTAAAATAATAATATTATTAAAATATTAAAAATTATAATAGTAAAGTAAAATGTTATATTATATTTTAAATATTTAATAATTTAATAATTTTATTTTTATGAAATTAACACATAATATTCTATTAATAATTTATTATATATTATTAAAACAAAATATAATACCATATATTATAATAATATAATAATAAAATAGAAAATATTATAAAAATTATCAATAAATATAATTTAATATTTAATTTTTATTAAATAATATATAAATATTAAATAATAATGTTTTGAGTTCTTAATCTTTAAAGTGAAAAGTTCACAGGATGACTTACAAAAAATCAGACCGTAAATTATTTTTAAAAAAATTAAAGGAAATTTAGTTGAACAAGAAAATGAATTACATTGATCATCTGTTTTCTTCCGAACAAACGTTAGAAAATAAATAAAATCTTTTTTTTCTAAAAAAAACCAATTATAATAAAGAAACAATCAGACCCTTAGTTATTTTATTTTATTTTTCATTTGATATATTCATTTGGTAGCTATTGATGTTTTCATATTAGCCGACTTTAGGAACTTACCTAAGCTAAGTCCAAATGACTGTTTTGCTCCTCTGAAAATAATAAAATATATACATATTTAATTAATTGTTATTAAACATATTTTTGTCAACTAAATTTATAATTATTAATATGGAACATATTTTAATTTTGTTTCACATTCATTTTTAGTTTTGATTTTAGATAATTTAAAAAAGTTATTATTTGATATAATAACAATATAAATTTATATTTTATTAATGTCAATATTTATATTAAAAAGAAAAAGAAAAATCTTAAATTGTAAAAGTGATGGTACTAAAAGTCCTATTATAATATTTCTTGAGAAGAGAGTAATGATCTCGGTATAAATGGTATCGAAATTATTTTTGACTATTTGATTTCACGAATATCAGAGTGATTCTTTAATCGTATTACCCTAATAGATTGATTAAACATGATAAAAACTTGTAATAAGAGCGTTGCAAAAATTGAGGTTTAAATATAAAATAAGTGCATAAAATATAACGCTTTTCATGAATAGGTGTTTAAATTATTTTGGGAATGATTTCGGTTTCTAATGTTACAATTGTTACCATTTTATGTGTTCCGACCACCAATAGCTTTAATTTCACCCGTTAAGTGACACGTTTCACAATATGATAATTTTAAAATTTTTATTTAAAATTTTAAAAAAAAATTATATTTAAAAAACATAAATTTTAAAATAACCCCAAAAGTTCAAAAACATTCATTTCAACCCAGAAAAAGAGTTACGTATGAGTATGAGGATGGCAGAGATTACGTCGATGACGAAGATAGTGGTCGGAAAAGGTGGTGGTAGGTTAGGGTCAGGATTTTGAGATTTTAAGGATTTTGAGATTTTTTTTTATAATTTAAGAGAAATTAAGTTTTTTTTTATAAAATATAATAATATTTTTAATATTTTTTAAAAAATAAATTTTAAAATTATAAGATTATAAAACATGTCAGTTAACGGATAAAATTAATGCCGTTGACGGACTGAGCACCTAACACCTAAAGTGTTAACGTTTATAACATTAAAGATCAGTATCATTCAAAAAAAAAATTAAACACCTATTCATCCCAAAATTAAAAGAGAGAGAACATCACACAATAAAGAAATAGTTAAAAAAACTTAAAATTTAGGAATGATATTATTACTAGTCTTATTAAACATGTCTTCAGAGAAAAATAATATGTTCGAATTCCTTCATTTTCGTGTAAATTTATTATAGATCAGGTTTAATCCTTTAACTTAACTAGGAGTGAACATTCGATCAAATCGAGTTAAAAAATTTAGAGTTATTCGATAGGCCTGTAAACGAACCGAACGCAAACGAACGGATGTATGTTCATGTTTGTTCATTTAATAAATAAACGAACACGAACATAAACGAACAAAATTATTTTTTGTTCATATTCGTTTATTAAGGAATATAACTTGTTCATGTTCGTTCATTTAATAAATAAACGAACACGAACATAAATGAACATGAACATAAACGTTGGAGACCCTACCTAGGGGTGTAAACGAGCCGAGTCAAGCTCGAGTATTGCTGAGCTCGACTCAAACTCTAAAACTTTCAAAGTCAGCTCGACTCGAAAACTCGCGAGCTTAAAATTATCAAGTTCGACTCGAACTCGAAATATAATATTGAAACTCGACTCGAACTCGAAAAGGCTCGAACTCAAAAAAAATTAAGAGCTTAATTAAAACTCGAGACTCGAGCTCGATTCTGAGCTCGATTCAAGCTCGACATTGCCCCAAGCGCAAAGATGCTTAAACCTATTCTCCCCCATCTTCTTTTACATAAGTTACCAACCCCGAGCTACTTGTTTGCTACTGATGTGAGATTGCATAACGTTCCTCCACTTTCTTTCTTCATCTCTTCCTTTAACAACAGTCGAGATGAACACAGATTGTGTTTCATGTGATTGCCGACCTTAATCCTTGGGGATCAAACAAACATGTCCTTAGCTTCGTGCTATGTAGAAGTTGAAAATTGAGACTTCTCTTTGCTCATCGGATAACCAGCTGGTGGCGCAATCACATAGGGTTCCGACGCAGTGGATGTTGACGGTGCTGGGTATGCAGCTTATGGATCGTTCAAAAAGAACTAAACCATGTTAATATTGTTGGGTTTTCCAAATAAAATTGGGTTAATTATGGAGTTGGTCATCAGAATATCAGATGAATTAATATTTTTAAGATACTTACAAATTGGTCACCAAAATTGATTTAAGAAGATTGAGTTAAACATAAATGAATGAACATAAACGAACATAACCGAATGAACATAATTGAACGAACATAACCGAACGTTCATTAACGTAAATGAACGAACGAGACCTATGTTCATGTTCGTTCATTTAATTAAACGAACACAAAATCTTGTTCATGTTCGTTCATTTAATAAATAAACGCATATAAACGAACTTTCTGCCGCACGGTTCATGAACGGTTCGCTGAACGTTCAGTTCATTTACAAGTCTATTATTTGAGTTGACAAGTTATATTTTATAATTGGGAGTTGACTTGAAATTTTTTCGAGTCGAATCGAGTTTATAAAATTAGAGTAAAGTCAAAATTTTGAAGTTTCTATTTAAATTTAATTGTAAATATTTACAATATTATAACATTATTTGATTCTAATTTAAATGAGATTTTACAACCATATACAATACATATATAAATTTTCGTATTTTTTCATATGTAATTTACATACCATATAAAGTCAAAGGAGTCGGCTCAAATTTTGACTCAAACTTGAATATATATCTACTAATTACTATAAATTTTAAGTTATTCGAGCTGTATTTTACAACTCGATTTGATATTAA